AAAGCAAATGGATGCCACACTTTTCAGATTCTCGTTGGTTTAGAAAAATAAATTGAAATCCGTGTATCGTTTTTTTCCCTCCACTTCTTTGTTCCCCACTGCTTGCAGATCACACAAGAGTCCACTAAATCCACTGACTGACGCTTATGGTGGTGATGTCATGAAACGAGGAAAGTGTCACATAATACGTCTACTCTTTGTCAATCTAGGATTTAATTTGAATTTCATAATCAGAGTGGGGGAGAAGGAAAGCACAGAAGTGGCTGTTCTTCAAGTCTGGAGGTGCTGCGGTGCGGTCATTATAAATTCAGTCATTCAGAAAGGCTGGAGTGATTATGAAGCCAAACAATATTTTCTGAATAGCTAATCAAAACTTGGCACTCTCCTTTTCCGGACTTGCTAAGATTAATGTCGAATAATGACTCTCTAATTCTGACCTCAGGTTCAGGGGGACAAGTCTCAGTTCTCCAGTAATTATACGCTGGCTTCATTTTCTCCATACTCCTCTGACCTCTCTCACTGCTTCACTGCTTTTCTTTTCTTTCTTTTTTTTTTTTTTTAGTTGAATTTTTGCTCCCATACTTTTGTCTCATTTTAATGGAAATATTTTCCCTACTTAAGTCAGTCATCGTGGGTTGACGAAATACGCTCGGTATCAGTTCGTCGACTTCTCTATACGCGGGTTTCCCTTCGGGATGGCATCGACGAGGAACAAAAAAAGAAAGCAACAGCGATGGGAGAGCTCCCATTTTCATCCCTATTTGAATCTAAAGTCGGCTTGGCGCCCATCCTGGCCTCTCCCAGTTTAAAAACATTAAGCGTTCATTAAAGCCGCAGACACGTTTTCACATTTTGACACAGACGCAGATCAATTCTCCATCTCATTCGTCAAGGCGCTCAGACGTTCTGCTACCTGGCAGGTATGTGTCAGCGAGTTCAATCCATCACTGAACCTCCCCGCCGGAGAACTGACAGATGCACTTGTAAAAAGGTCCATCTATTCATGTTTTCCAATCAATTCAAGTCCCCACCCCTCGCCTGTTTGTCTATCAGAGCTTAAAAAGTCCAACCTGCTTCATGGCCGACATAACAAGCAGCCACACTTCCACTGTCTTTTTTTTTTTTTTTTTTTGGTGATTAATTCATCCGCATCTGTCATCTGTGACAGTTTGCCGAAGCCGCTGTAAAGGAACTTAAGGATTTCTTGTTAAATAGCATCGACGCGTTAAATCAAACTAAAGTAAACAGATCTTTGTCAGTCAAAAAATAAGAAGAACGACATCGAGGTCCGTCCAGCCTCCTCGCAGAGGAAGAGTGAAGCTTGCCGATGTAATCTCAAAGGTCGCGCCCCGCGAGCTGACGGGCGGCGAGTAGTAAAATAAAACCCCCGTCTGGGGGTGAGTGGTCGCTTCCCCAGCCGTCAAGGTGAGAGTCGGGTGTCCTGCACCTGGAGCAGCGATAAACAAAAAGTTACATTGTTCCCTCTTGGAAACAGAGTGTCGTTAAAAAAGTGTTGCAAAGTTTTCCTGGGTGGATTTGTGTGTGTGTGTCCTGTCCTGGTGGGTCAGGTTACCATGCAGCGTCAGGTCAGATTTGCTCTACAAATACTGCGTAAAGTTAATCACACCAGCTGCGTTTGCATTACAATTGTGACCAAACTTTGACTATATTCTACTAAAGGCGAAAAAACAAAATTTCGCAATTGTGGGTTTTTTTTTTTTTACCAAATAAATTAAATTAAAATCACGTGTGAATAAACTTTGTTGTTATGATGAATTTTTGTAAATCACATGCTCTATAAATTTAGTTTTCTTAGGGAAGTTAAAATATACTTAGTTTAGAACCAAAATTTGTAGTTAATTTTTAGATTTAGAATTGTTTAAATTACTTCAGTAGCTTAATTTAAGAAATTAAAAACACACTGGCAGGCGTGGTTTACGTCTTTTGTTCGTCAAGCGCCCGGTGTGTACACAGGAAGTTTCGTAAATTGATTTTATGACGACTTTTTGAGCTGGTAACATCAGAATTTTCTTGGTTTTCATGTTTATCAGCTTGTTGGCTGCCTTTGTTGCTAATTAGCTTCATTGTGAGTTTTGAACTTTGGATTTGTTCTTTTAAAAGCAAGAACGTTTTGAAACATCATCATATTGAGTTGCTTTAGATTTTGTGGTTGTAGTGTGTAAATTGTAGCATGGCACTATCCGGAAATGACTTATTATTTCTGCACACATTTTTACTTCATGTTGCTCATAATCCACTAATGGTTCGTCTGTAACCGTGGCAACACACGCTGGAGGGCAATTGAATATTTTAGTAAAAAGATTCAAATGACAACTACAGTTGTCTAACTTCTTCCAGGCACATTGCAGTTTGACCTTCGCCTCGTTGGGGTTTTTTTTTTTGTTTGTTTTTTTTTGTCAGAATGATAAAAGAAGAGCAGTTCATTCTGAATGTTGGCGGCAACATTCAGCGTGAGAAGTAAACAAACGTCTCGGTGAGGATTCGGCTGTGGAGGAAGAGTGGAATCACGAACCACTACATGCTTTGAACTCCTTACGTCTGCCGTCAGACAACTGAAGTGGAGGAGAGCGGAAAAACAAACTACTTCAAACGTGGGTAATAAAATAATAAGAAGCTGGCTTTTGAATTTCCACTGTGATTTATTTCTGAAAGAAATTCTCACTGTAGGACATTTTGATTAAAAAAAAATAAAAAATAAAAAATGTGCAGAAAAATCCCAAAAGTTCAAATGACTATCTGAAAGAAATCAACTTCACTACACGGCTTTGCAAAAGTATTCTTAAACGTTTTCAGATTTTGCTACATTACAAGCACAAAATTAAATGTTTTTTATTGGGACTTCATTTGTGTGTTTGGCCTGGGTAAGTTGCTCTTAACCGCTGAGTGGATAGGAAGTGATCCAGAGCTTTCAAAATGTTACAAATAAAAAAAAACTCTCAAAAAACTGTAGCAGTGTACCCCAAAATGCTTCCAGCTGTCATTTCACAAGAATAGCTGATCTGTTCCAAAGAAACCCAAATTGAATTTATTGTAGTTTTCACGATGAAATGTGGAATTTAAGTGGCATTAATGCGTGTGTGAGTTGCTTTGAGTGTAAAAGCTTAAACCGTTTTATTTTGTTCAACCTTTTAGTGCTGTGTTCGTTAAATCCAGAGGACTCTACAGAGTCAATAACTGAATACTGTAGACAAATCCCGACTAACGCACACAAAGTTTTTATTTCTTTATTTTTCCGATGCGGTGAAAGACGCCCACCTGTTGAGCATATATGTTCAACAAGGAGAACACACATGAATGTGGAAGCACACATCCAGACTCAAAAGGAAAACGGGAAAGGAGGGGGATGTTTGATGAGAAACGGAAAAAGATATTTGTTTTTGTCAGACAGCTTTGGGGCGAATCTTGTAGACGTTAATGAGAGGCAATTAGTTTTGATTAAAAATGAGATTGCTCCCTTACTTCCAATGGAGCTATATCAAAACAAAAATAATAATTATTTTTTGTTGGCTTAAGACATTATTGTGGAGAGCAAAACTACCCAAGCAGCAAGGTTACAGCAGCTCCGAGGCCAAAGTGGAGAGGAAAATAATAATTTAGAGACGGAGCAAAGCCCTCATGTGGCGACGCTCATGATGTAGTGAGTTAAAGTTGTACATGAAATGTTTTAGAGTTTGCATCGGTGCAGCTACTTGTTGAAGTGTTCATATCTCCTACCCTTTGTAACACTTTATGTGAAGGGGTGTGCATGAGACCGTCATGACATAACACCTGTCATGAACATGAAGGAGTTTTATGAATGATTTATGACTGTTGCCATGAAGTGTCATTCAGTAAATGAGACTTTTGATTCAAAGGTGCTTTAAAAGTTGCATTAAAAGTGCAAATTTTGCATTGTTCAGTAAATAATTACACATTTAATGCAAAGTTCCATTAAAACTCAGCTTCACTCATTTTGGAAGAAAATGTTTCACTTTTTTTCCCGACGGCTTTTGGAAAACAATGGGACCGGGAACCACTTATTGCCATCATCAGGGTCTCCAGTGCTTGTTTGGTATGGTAATTGCTAAAAGGTTGATTTTCAGATGTTGGACAAAGGACTCTGTGCCCACATTTGATCTGTGGTTGGAGGAACTAGCAAATACTCTGCGTCTGGAAAGACTGAGATATTGCGATGAAGACAGAGTCGATGTGTTTGAGAAAATATGGGGCCCTGTACTAAAATTCCTTCAATGAAAGACTGTTAATGACAGACCCGCCAATGTTAGCAGCTTGTGTAACTGTCTTTATTTTGTTTTTTTGTATGCTTGTGGAATGATTTGGATCAATTCGTGGTGTATTAATCATGTTGTCTTGGCTGTGTAAGTGTTTTCTGATGTGCCGATTTGGTGCGGGTGGGAATTTGATATGTTATGTTTATGTATGTCAATTTGGAAAAAATTCAATAAAATAAATATAAAAAAACCCCTACATTAAATGTGTCATTATTTACCGAATGACACTTCATGATAACAATCATGAAGTGTCTTTACTGTAGACTGTAAAGTCCAATGCGTTTGTTTTATATGACAGAGCAACACAAAGTAAGAAATGTGTTCAAGGAGCTGAAGGAACTGTTCATATAAGTGGTGTAATGATAAATTTCAATGATGTCTAAAATACCCAAAACTGTCTGTTTGTTGGGTTTAGTATAAACTCCAATGTTTGCTCAATGAGATTAATAAATACCAGTACTTTTGAAAATATGACTAAATGCCCTTGCTGTGTGGTTATTGATAGAAATCCTTCTTCTTTGGTTGAATTTTGTCCTAAAGAAGAACATCACAAATGTTAACCAAACCTAACAGTTACCTAAAAAAAAAAAGAAGCAATAAATAGTTATCGTTCACTTTCACTCTATCCCTCGTACATTTGTGTCTATGTTTGTTCCAGACTTTCTCTTTTTTTTTTTTTTCCTATGGGTTTGTGGTCTCCCTCTGCAGCGTCCATTGTAATTGGGAAGTGGTGGTGTGAGATGGAACCATGTCTGGAGGGAGAAGAGTGCAAGACTCTGCCTGACAACTCTGGATGGATGTGCTCGTCTGGGAACAAGATCAAGACCACAAGGGTGAGAGCTCACACACGTGTGGACATGCAACACACCTACGCTCCCAAAACACACACACTCACATATGCAGGAGACGTCCAAACGCTCGCTGCGAGTGTGTGTGTACTGGTTTCAGGTCTTTTAGGCCCCGACACACAAGCGTGAACATATTACCGTTATCCCAAAGAGACATTACAAGTCAGTTTAAATCAGCCACATTTATCTCTCAAACTGCATCTGAACACTTTTATTGAAAAGTATTTCCGTCGCTTCCTGCTTCTGCAAGAAGTTCTGCGATCTTTGCAGATTATTCTGACGTAGGTCTGGGCCTTCTGTATGACAAGGTGTGGTTCTGTTCGGACAGGGCATCCAGTATGAGGAACCGTAGTGTTAAACAATAAACATGTAAATAAACAGGTGAACTCCACATTCCTCTCAGAGATCAGGTTAAGGACCAGTCTGCGTCTCTACTGCCTCTTAGCTGCATAAACTGACTCCAAACGCAGCATACGAATAGAAAAAGGAGGTAAAACCTAAATAAAATAAAACTTCCTTCCCTTCCTTTCAGTGCTTAGACACGGTGACTTTAAATAAAAGCCGAGACTAATGAGATCGGAGGGGCAGCATTGGGCTTCCCAAGGCTGTTTGGTAGATTTGTTTGTCGTCATTTAGAGGTAAAAGTTGAGCTGGGCTTTCTCGCAGCCACCGCTGTCAGAAAAAAACGTTCAAACAGGACCTGGGGTCTTTTCAGCCCTTCAAGGTAAGGCCGAGCACTTAGATCTTCTCCAAAGAATGCATCTCTAATTTTCAGTCCAGTCCTTTGCACAATTTGAAGTGAATCTTAAATGAAGTAAAACTTATTTTGGTGAGTTTTTTCTTTCTTTTTTTTTTTTCCTTTTTTTTTTTTCCAGTTAGATCATTGAGGAATGTAAACGTTCTGCACATAAAGGGAAAACAAA